TTAATAACCGGTTCAACTTTCTTTGTGTCTGTTCACACGGACGGTGCTTGGAGTTTCATACAGTTTTTTTTTTTTTTTGTTAGCTATTCCCATTTCCATTTTACACTGAAAAGTTTTATAGACGATGAAATTAAACTTCTTATCCTAGATATTTGAAGTAATTAAAACTTCAAAAAAAAAAAAAAAGAAGAGATTCCTCTTTAGACCATTGGGCAGATGAGGTCAGCATATTTCTTAGCCGCCTTACTCTCCATAACGTGTGTTAGGTACCCATCAGAGCTGGGTGGACTCAGGGACATTCCCGTGACTTGAAACCGGCTTCGTTGGGTTAGCGTTCTAGCGCTCTACCGCTAGACCACGCTGTCCCATACATACCATAACGTACTTTATAAAAAAAATAGTATCGCTTCTAAAATCATCAACATTTGTAACACGTGAAGAGAAGTAGGAAACAGGCGTTGTTACTGAAATTGCAATATTGGCATAAGGCGTTCTTTCAACTTAGCAGCGCTAGTCCCATTCCGAATTCTAATCCCACCTATCCGTGTAGGATAACGCTAATCGCAAAAGTATACTTTTTTTTTTCAAATGTGCAATACGAGTTTATATTGAACCGTTTTAAGCTTGCGGGCTGTTACAAAAATCTGTCGAAAGTGTACCGGGTCCAGGCTCGGGGCAGACGGCCCATTCGGGTGTACGTACGGCTTTTCGCGTCTGTGAAAGCTGTTGCTGGTTCTGCTTTAAGTCCCGGGTCGCTGCATTGTTAGGGGGGGGGGGGGGGAATCAATACTATCTGTCAAGGAGAACTCGCGACGATTTATTTAGACGTGAGTGGCCTCCCTTTCATCTTGACGTTTCTTTACCCCCCCCCCCTTACCTTTCTAATTCGATACCACTCGATACCCTTATTTACGATTACTTAAAGATGACATCGGTATTGAGCGACGTCCTATATGTTCAATGAAAATTTTCGTATGCTTGTATACAACCTCCTTTCATTCGCCTAACTAAGCTGGCGATATTACATACCCGTATCAACCCATTTTAGAAGAATGCATTGGTTTAAATGTTTTTAATGTATAGTATTAACTATACCCTTAATTATAGATGTCATCTATACAGACGGACTTCCTTCAAGTTCATAACGATATCCCTTATTATCGATTTCTTGTAGATGTCATCGGAATAGATCGACTTCCTACACATTCTTGACGATACCTATGTTTACGATTACTTAAAGATGACATCACTTTATATCGACATCTTCAGTACTTTTAACGATACCCATATTTACACTTTCCTATAGATGGCATCGGTATAGAGCGACTTTCTTCATATTCTTGACGATACCCATATTTACCATTATTTAAATATGACATCGGCGTAATCGACATCTTTAATATTCTTAACGATACCCATATTTACGATTATGTAAAGATTCCTTGGTATAGATCGAAGTCTGAAATATGCTCAACGTTCAACCCCCCCCCCCCCCCGCTCCCTCCTCTATCGCTCCAACCCACTGATTGATTTACCCCCCCCCCCCCCCACACACACACACAGTCTTCACTGTCCCCATTCCTATTCTAGTAGAAGCGTAGTGTCGACCAGGTGTGTTGGTTTGTACCGGACTGTCATCTCGGTCAGTTCACGTGACGGACAAAAACGAGACAGTTTCCTTAACATTTCTTACCAATCGAAAATACTCTATTGACCCCAGCAGTGGATTTTTTTTTTTTTTTTACAATTGGTTACATAGATTTATATGTTTGAGTCACGGACGTTTTTGTCTTTCTCTGTGGTCAACATTTGAAAGTGTAATGGTCATTGTTTAATTTTTTTTTCAGAGTAGTAGAGGGGTTGGAGATGGGAGTGTTGGTGAAAGCATGGGGTGGGGGAGGGGGAAGTTTATAATTGGATAGGTGTGGGGGTTATGGTAGGTGTGTGTGTGGGAGGGGGTATAGTGTTATTGGTTAGTGTTGGAGTGGGGGAAGGGGAGAGAAGAGATCGCTGACCACCGTCCGCAAGAACAAGTGAGTTTGTTCAACCCGAAAGAAACCCGGAGAAAATCCATCTTTGTAATATTTTAATCTTTCACCAAATCAAAACACATATATCGAAGAGGTTCATATTTTGATGTTGTGAGCCACGTTTTGAAATAGCTTAGTGCACTTTTTTTTTCACCGCGATGTAATAAATTCGTCATCTCAATTGCTGTTTATTTTGCCAGTGAGGTATTTACTTGTGTGTTGGATAGCTTAACCTCCAGCCAACTACATCAACACCTCCCCCTACGCTACGGCTCTAGTAATATTTTGATATAACTAAGGAACAACAAGCTAATTTTCCAAGCTGAGGTAATTTATTCAACTGCATCTGGTAATTGACAGCGAAATCGTTGAATCGCGACACACATAGTTACACCGTAATTGTCTAGGATTTGAGGCAGCACCCTTAAATGTCATATGTTTTTCTCAAACCCCCCTCCCCCCTCCCTGTGTCGCCTCATGTGTCACACAGTGTCGAAATTCGCCGTCCACCTCACCACACGTCAAAATTATGCCATATTTTGCCATCCCCCCCCCCCCCCCCCGGACGCACACACTCACACATACACGACACAGTGTTAAAGTTAAGCCATATTTCGGCGTCCGCCAAACAACGACACATGGGCACAATTACCGGTACATCAAAAGGTACAGCTAGCTTAGTCTACACTGAATATCTCTGCTGATGGTTGAATGAGTGATGTGTAGTGTGTAACATCAGCTGTGTGTGCTTGGTATATCAGTGTAACTCAGTGCTACTACGTCCAGTGGTGGTCCTATAGAAATATACTTGGCTCTGTATTTCAGTTGCTAGTGTAACTTTTATATGCAAAATATCCAGCTGCAGGGGAACTTATATTTGGACTATTACAGTACCACCCCCCTCCCCTCACAGTGACTATTACAATACCGATCCCCCCCCCCTCTTACATGGACTGTTGCAATACCACTGCACCACTTCCCACTCCCATCTCTCTCAATCGACTCTGATAATACCACCCCAAATCTCTCTCCATGGATGTCATAACACCACCACCTCCTACCCCCAACTCTCTACACGAACTGACACACCATCCCATCCCCACCCTACACAAACCATCAGCATGCTTTTGAAAGCAGCCTTAGTACCATTTCCCCCAGTATTCTCCCTTCTCCCACCCATCCCTACCCCTCACCCTGCTAATACTGCACCCCCCACGGGTCCCACCCTGCTAATACTGCACCCCCCCCCCCCCGGGTGATAAGCTCTAGAATAATTAATGCCTCAGCTAGCGTATAATCAAGAGCAATTGTAACTGGCATTCCGCTCCATCCCCCAACCCTCCCGCATACGTCTTATATGGGTGAGTATCAGAGCCAAGCGACAGGTTAATTTGACGGGAGGCTGTAAGCCATCAAGGCTTTAAACGATTTCAACATTCACCTTTTGTTTTGTAAAAATCGTTTACTTTTTTTTCAAATTTCTAACATCCCATTTCTTTTTATGTTATTTGCAGCCATTTTGTTTTTCTAATTGATAAAACTTATCATTAGGCCTACAAAATCTATTAATAATTTGAATACACACATTTAACTTCTGGATTGAATTATTTGTATATTATTAATGTTGCAAGTTGAATATTTGTTTTTACGTTGTAGGATGTAGAACTACTTGCATAGCTCTTTGGGGCAATGTTTGAAGCAGCGTCGATAAATCTTTTCAATGCCGGAGTTAGATTTCATTTCGTATTTTTGTATGTAGAAATGTTGATACAGAATTGAGGTGTGTGTAGAATTGTTCGCAAACTTAAATAAATAAATTAATACAAAAGTGTTGGTAACTGTTGGACGTTTACGTATGGACGTCTGAATACGACACGCTGCCGTCATGTTTGAAGTCCAATAATGTCGCACGTTGAAGTATGGACATAAGTTTAGGTTGTTGCTCGTAATTTTTAAACTCCACTAATATCAAATAAAGTTATACCACAAAAAAGAGGATTTTTTTCCCTACACATTGATACCAATTTTGTGTCTCTAGCTTAATTAGGAGCTAAGATATGGCCTTTTAAAAATTTGGGGGCGTGGCTAAAACAGCTTAGACCTTCGTCATTCGTGTCAATGTTACACAAGCAAAAAAGTTGGCACCGATGTTTTTTTCATTGCATCATCATGGATTCGCATTTTTCGAAAAATTAAAAAATTATATTTTTATTGCATCATCCCGGATTCGCATTTTTCAAAACATTAAAAAATTATAATATAGCTTATTTATTATAGTATCATGTTTTAATATACTGAGCTGGAAGTGATTTAACTATTACTCGGTGTAAAAACATAATTAACGTAAATTTAAAATAAAACTAGATCTAGTTGTTGTGAACTTATTTATTGCGTTAATACTTTTACTACTAATAAACTATTTACATTACAATTCGAGACGTGCATTAGCACTAAATTAATATTAATGCATATATTAGTTTTATTACTGCATTAGTGTACGCAATGACTTGGGTAGATGAAATAGAGTGGACCTACACCCTACTCATACATGAATTTCATTAGCAACTGGCTGCATTTACGTTCATCCCCCCCCCCCCCCCCAACACGTCTTTTGTACTTGTTATCAGGAGCCCATAATAAAATTATAAAACAACAAAAAAACAGAAAACAGCTGTAAAAGTGTGTACTAGTTTTCATTTATTATGAGTAAACAAATGTAAATTATAAAAACATGTTAACAATTCTTCATAATAATATATAGAATTAAATTATTAAACTAGTTATAAAATCACCACAATAATTGTAAATCTGTCTAATAAAAATAGAAACATTTAGCACACACAATTTGTTTATCAGAGCAAAGAAATGAACTACACAGCTACCCTATTAAATGTAGCTTTTTTTACATTCTATTATTAACATAGAACAATTCCATAACCAACATTAGTGTGAAGAAACATAAATCCACAAACAACATTAGTGTGAAGAAACAAATCCACAATTAACATTAGTGAAGAAACAAATCCACAATTAACATTAGCGTGAAGAAACAAATCCACAATTAACATTAGTGTGAAGAAAACAAATCCACATCAACACTAGTGTGAAGTAACAAATCCACAGTACTCGACATCAGGCAACATTGACATCAGACGACATCAGCAGCTCCTCACCACTTGATCTACCTGAAGAAAAAAATAGTTTTAATTATCAAGTATTAAACATTAAAATATTGGCTTTAAGTAAATTTACTATTAAATATATTCCATGACTTCAGTGTATGCTGGAAAAGAATTTAAATGCCATATTAAAATTTTTGACAACTTTAGTGATAAAACAATTTTCTAAAGTATCAATTATTTTTATTCTATAGAAACTATTAGAACATCTAAGGAAAAGAAATACATTTTTTAAAATTGTCTGTACTTGAGTGATCAAACTGTAAAAGAAAATAGTTAAAATTAGTTTTGACGAACATTTTGAAGCACCTTAACTTCTGATTCTAGGATTATCTAGCAGATTTCAATTACCCTGAAAAACAAGTTAAGTAATTAAATTGTACATTTTTTTACATTATATAAACAACACTTTAAAATTAAAAACATTGTTAGTATTATGTTTCAAACTTAGTTTACACTATTCACAGCATGCATTTTCAGTAACAATTTATAAAAACACTCAAATGATTAAAAAAGAAAGTTAATTTGTATACTAAAAATGTAAAAAATACTCTGAAATTTGAATAGCTGTTAATCAGAAAGAAACTCAAGATTCCTGTGAAGCAAGTCAACCACCAGTGATTCTGCCAGATGGCTAAAATCCTCAGCATCATCCTCATCCTCCGACCAGTAACTGATGGTGTAGACAGCTGACTTCTTTTTTGTTGCCGGTACCCTTTCAATAATCCTTCCGCTATATTGTGACACACCCTGATCATCCAGCTCCCACTTATGAGTCAGCTGAACACCAACCAGATCCTCACCAGCCAAAATTCTAGACAGAAATGGTCTCTGCTTTCTATCAACAGCAGCAAAAATAGGCTCATCAACAGAAACATTTTTGTCACACATAGCCTTGCGGACAGCAGTCTGAAACTTTTTCCTTTCAAGCTTTTCTTGCTTTTCCTTCAAGTCCTTCATGCGTGACAAAATGTCCCTATCTATTTGCTGCTGCAACAGAATGCAGGCTTTCCTTATCTGGGCTCCCCTATGCACCGCGAAGGTAACCAGTTTCATCTGCTCTGGAACAGACTTTTGATCCAGCCACTCAAGTGTGCCATTCACACTTGCCTTTAACTTAGAGTCCATGAAACCAACTGACACATTTGGGGAACGCCTGATAAGGTAGTCTGCAATGCCGAGACACCTTTCTGAAAAGATATTGTGAGGTGGTGCAGAACTGGTGGCATCCAACATCTCACTTGTGGGGTTGGAAAGATCTCCAACCAGATACCTCTCCAGCTGTCGCACCAAGACAGACTCAGTAGAAGCCAACAATGCTTTCATGACTTCATTAAACAGAGTGCTGTTCTGCTCCTGCCGAAGAGCTTCCAAAGTTCTGTCCACCTCCAGATGTTGTCCAAACACATCAAAGTTAGTTGTCAGTACACCTTCAGGATTATTCTTTAACCTCTCAATTTCTTTCATAGCATACTGGAACTCTGATACCTAAAACAATTGGAGACAATCAATCAACTGTGTCAAAAATACATCAGTAAATAAAAATTACATCAGTAAATAAAATTTATATTTATTGTAGGGATAAAAGTGATTACTTACAAAAGCCAGATTTGACCGCCGCATTGCATTCTTGTAAATCAACTTCATCCAAGGGCCAGAGATCAATTTCCCTATCAGCCCTAGTGCTTGCAGCTGTACAAGAACCTCAGGCTTCTTAAGATCGGCAAGCAGTTGAGTGCAGACTTTGGTTGTTTTTCTAAAAAAAAAATTGTTTATTTTATAAACAAACAGTTTAAACATTTTCAATATTATAAGTAACATTAAATTATAAAATTGATGAATTACCCAACAAGATAATCTGTTAGCAAGTTCTTGTACTGAATTACAACGCCAGCCATGCGAAACAACAGATGAAGCCGATTTCCAACATAGCGGACAAATGTTCCAGCAGCTACATCATTCTCTCTAAGATGAGCCTTGAATGAAGCTGGCTCCCCATGAAAACTGTACCTGAAAAGAGAAGGGTAAATGGAATTAGAAATTTGTAGAAAAATTTGTAAAGTATATAAAATAGATATACAAATTAGTTATTAATTAATGTTCTCTAGGTGATAAAGATGATGACAAGAAAGCTAAAAAAAAAAAACCAGAAAATTAATTTAAGGAATATTCTAAAACTAAGCTGAAAATTTGCAGCAAAGTATATTAAATTTATAAAATTAGAAATAAATCAAAGTCCTGTAAGAGAATGGTCAAAATAATCAGAAGAAAGCTCAAATAAAATTGTACTGAAAGTGCATAATAAATTAAAGAATAGAATAAAACATTTATTAATCTATCATCAATTAAAAAAAGGACATACCTCAACTTTGAAACATTCACAACCACCCCTACCGCAGTAGCTACACTCTTACCACTAGATGATGATATTTTAAACCTCTTGTCCAAGTCTGAACAGCACTCCCTCGCTTTCGTTGCCACACTGTCTAACGGGTGTATGTATGCTGCATATCCAGCTCACTCTGCAACATTTCCAATACACATGTGTTTACCGCCGCCCTGTCCGTCACGCTGCAAGTACACTTATCTTTAAACATCGACAGCACCTCAACAAATGGCAGGCCAGTGTAGTCACTGTAAACAGAGGCCACTTCCTTCATGGAAGAAATAATGTGGCCCGCATAGTCTACAGCTCTACCACTGGCTACCCTTGCAGTTGAAATCACATAGTCTTCTGTAGCTGGCTCCATGGTAGCTCCATCACTAGCTTCTGTCGCTGGCACTGTGGATATAGAAAAAGTGTTGAGATGTTTATCTGCTTTGGTGGTAGCATCAAATTTTATACAGGCAGACTTACAGTTTTGAAGAGCCTCTCCTACTTGAATTAATGCAAGGACTCCAGGTTCATGTGCCATCTTGGATATGCTGGAGTAGTGGGGCATCTTCAGAGCATCTTCACCAACTGCCTCTGCAATATACTCTGCCAACTGGCCAACATTTCGAACAGGAACATTATATAAAAGAGACTTATATGTGACCTTTCTTACCTTAAAATCATACTTACCTTTATCTGCCCCTACCTCATCCTGCTTAGTATCCACCAATTCCTCATACTCTTCCATTAACTTTCTGTTCTCTGCTTCAAGGATCACCTGCTTGGCTTCAATCTTTTTCTTCTCCTTGACCAACGCATCCATCTCTTTGAGAAGTTTACTATTCTCAGCCACCAGTCTGTCTTGTCCTTCCATGAACTTGGATGTTTCACTTCTCAATTTGGATCTTAAATCATCAATGTCTTGCTGATGTTGCTGAGTAACAATCTGAAATTTTCTTTGCAATTTGGTTAATTTAACTCTAGCAATCATCAATTCCTTACCTCTCATGCCCATTCCAACTTGTTGGGCACCAACACTTCCACTTGCCTGTAGCTTCTTCTTTTCTTTTTCCTGCATGTACTTTTTCTTCCACTCTTGGGCCTGCGCATGCTTTCTCTGCAACAATCTTGTTAAATTTTTAACCTTAAGTGACTTAATGGCTTTAAGATCACTTTTTAATTTTTTTATAACATTTTTATAGTGAAGTATGGTTTGATTTTTAATGACACACCGGGAACACCTCTTACCTCTTAAGTCATAACCACTCTTTACCTGAACACTGCTACTTTCCTCTGAAGCTGCAGAAATCTCTATGCCATGATGACCTCCAGCGCTATAATTATGCTCATTCATGTGTGCTAAAGCTGTGGAAAAACTCTCATGATAAACATCAGATGATGAAGGTCCTGCACCAATACTTACGTCAACTGTAAAAAAGCCCTGATTCAAATTATCCTCAACAGTGGTTGACAAACTTACTTCTTCTGTGCTCACTTCCTCAGTTACTAAATCTTCAGGCAGATCATTCTCAACAGAAGCACCTGCAACAACACTTTCATTACCTCCAATAACAACCCTTTCACCGAGCAGCTCAGTCTCCATTGATGTTGAAAGGACCTCCTCTACTTCTAAGGGCTGAACATAGAAAGGACTATACATCACTTCTACTAACCTGTTCCAGCTATTAATTCCTAGCCTCCTAATGTTTTTTATCTCTGTCATCAGCCTGAAAGCTGCGTTAGCAACTTTTCTGTAACCCACTGAATCATTCTCCCTAACCAAATGATTCTCAGCTATCAACTGCCTTATAACTTCTCTCTTGGATGAATCCTGTGCATAATACATGCGGTGTGCTACAGCTCCATTTAGCAGAGGCACTGAGGGTTCCGAAAAGCTATCAAGTAATCCTACATAACTGTAACTTGGGCTTTGGGATTCCATACTTGCTATTAGCAGCAAACTAAAATTAATGGCCGAAGTGTGTTTAGTGTATAGAAAAAAAGTAAATACTGTTTGGTATAAATTAGTTTTAAAAGTTAACTTGTCTTACTAAGGCTACAATTTATTAAAAGATATTAAAGCATGCAATATTACTACTAATGGACCTCTTAATAAAAACCAACTTATTGAAATAAAATAAGAAAAGAAAGTAGGCCTATTCAGAATATTAAAACAAAAAAAATATGTTATGAACAAGATTTCAGACTAGTTAGGCCTATTATGAATCAAAGCTTAGTGTTAGGCTTTAGATGAAAATTAAACAAAAGCAACTTTTAGTACTTAACTATTTAAATTAGGCCTTAATCCTTTTTTTTTTAGAATATGGATCTAGATCTAGAATCTAAGCCTACTTATTAGTAATAAGTTATTACTTATTGGTACTTTTGAAATTAGCTAGGCCAATGCAAAAATTTAATTTCAGTAAAACAATATAATAGTTACATATTTAGATAGGGGCTGTCAATCTGATTACAGATCAGTTTGAATTTTCAAAATCTGACCATAAACAAAAAAGTTATGAATTTTTTTGTCATTAAAAAACAGCAGTTTTTTCAGACAACCGGGGTAGACCCTGAAAGAGGAAAAATACTGGGAGGGTATGGACCAAATTTTTAAGAGTTTTTCACTAAAAGTGGTATAAAAGTAAGCAGACTTCACCAATTGATGTCATTTTATGATATTTTGTAGATTTTTGTATGCCGAATCCAATGATGCTATTTTAAAAAGTGTCTTTTGATTACATAACAGACTTATTTCATGGATTATGTAATACCCCCCTTCAATTTTTTTTTACAACATCTGATAATACGTGTGATAAGAAGTCATTCTTTAAATTAAACACTGTTTTAAACCATAATATGACATTTGAATATGCTGAAGCTAATGGTGATATTTAAAATGGTCGAACATTATTACAAAACTATAAAGGTCAGGTTATGTAATTCGCACCTTTTGCTCATAATTTACCATGTATTTATTTTAAAATCTCTTTTGCTCATTGTCAGTTAACTTAAGTGAATAGCCTACTTAAAGAAAAGATAACTAATACAGTTTTAATACAAAGAGAAGGATGCTATAGGCCTAACAATAGTATATTTGTGATGATGTAACTTCTTAAAATATGTTATGTAATCTATGTGCAATCCTACAGGCCTACTCTATTCCAAAAATATAGGCATATCTTATTATATTTATATTTCTTGTTACTTTAAATGTCATACCATTGATACAACTTTCTTCTATAGAATTAGCCTAGTTACAAATGTGTCTTATCAGAATCAGTGTGCTTTATGACAATTTTGTAATATATTTAAACACAAAAAAATTGCTCATTTTTACAATTTTAATAACATAAACATTGGAGGAAAATTGTTTTTTTTTAGCTTGTACAAGGTAGTGTAAGTTATAGGTCTATAACATAGATTTATATATGCTCAATGTTTATGCTAGTTGTAAGCGTGTGTATTTTGTAGGCCTATTACATTAGGAAAAAAAGCACGTGTTTGAGTGCTTGACTGTGTGTAGTAGATGCTAGGTATTTTTAAAAGTTTCCCGTGTCTAGCTACACACGGAGGCGTTTATCACCATCAGCATTTGCCTAGATTTAGTTCAATCAGACGTGGGTAACCAGGTTTTCTGACCAACGAATTTTATTGCCGTATTACGTAAACACGAGGCTAGATAGGCTAGTCGGCCAACCCGATGAACGTGTCAGACGAATATTATGTAATTTTAGAGATAAAAGTCTGGGAAGATTTCCTGATCTATGCCCGAGGGTTAGTATAATAGATTGACGATAGAAGCCTGTGGTTGTATATAACACGTTTATTGGGTCTAATTACATCATGATGGTAATGCCAGAGAGGACAGAAGGAAGTACCCAAGGGACATCACTCAAGATAACAATATTATAAATATAACTAATACAGAAGAGTGAGTTCCCTTGACCTCACAATTATTTCAATCTATTACATCCCTTTACCCTTAGAACACAATAACACATCTCTCAATAGAACAATTGATAGTATCCTAAAATCACCAATTATATTGTAACATGAACACTATGGTAGATTACATCCTTACAAACAATGCACAATATGCTACAACATAATCAAAATACAAAACAATAATGTCAAAGTCCTTTTGACCTTTAGAATCATAGGTCTAACTTATTTGGGACCTTGATTGTCCTGCTTGACCTTCTCAGTGGCTTTTGATTTGGTGACTCAATATTCTGACCATCTGGATTCTCTATCTCAGGAGGTCTAGGATTTAAATCATTAACTCCAGAATTTACATTTTCTGACTCCAGACAACTTGGTTCACTCATATCAACAGAACTTGGTTGTGGAACAAACTGAGTTGGTGTGAACTGTTCAGATTTGGTGGGATTGATAGATTCACACTTATTATCTGCACAAGTTATTTTTAACTTTATAAGGCACAGGTCCTGTACATTGAACAATTTGACCTGGTATCCATTTTTCCTTTCTCCCATAATTTCTTAGATGCACATTATCATTAACTGCAAATTTTCTTTCAATGAATGTTTGTCATGATTTAATGGAACTATTTTTGAATTGGCATCTGAAAGTATTATGCTGTTATTCAGATCCTTGACTGACATAGATTTCTTTGATTGATCAATTTCCTCAGGTAATCTGATAGTGCTTTCCTGGTAACCAAAAATACTGTTTAAAGTAATATCCTGGACAATATCACTTTGCAACTGTGATCCAGTATTTGAAGTGGGTGTATTAAATGGCAAAATCTTTTTTTTTTTCTTTTGATGTTACCCTTTTAGTTTCTGTAAGTGCTAATGATGTTAGCAAAGTTGTTTGATGATCACATTCCTTCTTACTAATGTATTCTCTTTAAAACATTTGAAATTGCCATATCACCATAATCATTTATTAAGTTACAAATACTTTGTTTAGGCAACTCTGACTGATAATGGACTGTATCTTCTCCATCTTTTATATTATCTTCACAAAGGTTTTTATTTCTTATTTTACATGGCCTTAAGTCATCATTCACAGACTCTTCAGGCCAACCATTCTTACAGTACTCATATACTTTTATTAAGCACTCATCTTTTTGTGTTTCTCTTTTAATATCATTCACATTTATATTGGAGTTATCCATGATAGTGAAGAGAACAAATACATCTTCTGGTACATAGCTCAGGCTTTGGTTTTTTAAAGGTAATCTGCTAAGACTATCTGCACTATTCTCAGATCCAGGTTTGTATTTCAATTCATAATTGTATGCAGTTAGTGTGATAGCCCATCTTTGAATCCTTGGTGAGGCATGCTCAGGTAGGGTTTTGTTTTCTCCAAATAAACCTAGCAATGGTTTATGATCTGTAAAGATGGTGAACTTCCTACCAAACAGAAACTTATGAAATTTCTTAACACCAAAAATGATGCCTAAGCCTTCCCTATCTAACTGAGAATAATTTTTCTCAGCCTGGTTCAAAGATCTACTGGCAAAAGCAATGGGTCTGTCACCCTTCTCATCCATGTGGGACAAGACTGCTCCTACACCATCTGGTGAAGCATCACATGTCAATACAAGTCTTTTCCCTGGGTCATAGTGAGTTAGTAAGGTGTCAGCAGACAAAGCCTCTTTTGCTGTATTAAAAGCAGCTTCTTGTTGTTTACCCCAGTGCCAAGTTGCATTTTTCTGTAGCAGCTTGTACAGTGGTGATAGTTTACCAGACAGATTTCCTATGAACTTTGCATAGTAATTTATTAAGCCCAAAAAAACTCTTAGTTGTTGGGTATTTTCAGGTTTGGGTGCTTCTTTAATGGCTTTTGTTTTCTCAGGTTGAGGTCTGATGCCTTGTTTGCTCAATATATAACCAAGAAAACTAATTTCTGTCAGCATGAATTGACATTTATCTTTGTTTATCTTTAAACCTTTTTCACCAACAATTTTTAATACTTTATCAAGTGTTTTAAGATGTTCAGTGTCATTCTTACCAGTTATGTACACATTGTCAAAGTACACACAAACATTTGGAATGTCCTTAAAAATACTGTCCATGACAGCTTGGAAAATTCCAGGGCTAGATGATATGCCAAAACATAGTCTTTCATATTGGTAGAGTCCTTTATGTGTGTTTATTGTCGTATAAACTTTTGAATCTGGATGCAGTTCTAGTTGAGTGTAAGCATGACTAAAGTCTAATTCAGTGAATTTGTCTCCTCCTGCCAAATTCAAAGAAATTTCCTCAATGTTAGGTATAGGGTACCTATTTAGCTCTATTTGCTTATTCAGTGTAGTTTTATAATCTCCACAAATTCTTATAGAACCATCCTTCTTTAACACTGGCACAATGGGCGTTGCCCAATCGGAATAGTCTACCTTCTTTATAATGCCATTAGATTCCAATCTACTTAGCTCATTTTCAATTTTATTCCTCATTGCATAAGGTGGAACTCTAGCTTTGCAGTATCTTGGATTTGTATCTTTAATGCTTAACTTCACTGTTCTATCATTTAGTAAACCTGAATTACCAAAAACACATTTATTTTCAGATATAACTTTATCTAGTGAAGTAAGACTAGATTCTTTTACATTCTTCAATGAACAAATACTCTCCCAATTTAACTTAAGATCACTTAACCAGTTCCTACCTAGTAATGGCGGTCCATTTCCTTCAACCACAAGAAGAGGAAGTTTAACACTTTGACCATTATAACTTACATGAACCATACACTCTCCTATTACCGGAACATTGTCACCAGTGTATGTTGTTAGACACTTGTGACATGGCTGTAGAGGCACTGATCCTCCTATGACAGCGTCAAAATCTTTCTTTGTTATGACTGTTAGAGATGCTCCAGTGTCCAGTTGGAAGCTGATGCTCTTACCGTTGATATAAACTGGTACATTGATGGGAGCATGACTTATTGATTTAACAGAGAACAGGTTGAAATCCGGCTGCAAATCAATTTGAGCATTTTCACAGGTAGAGTGGTTCATTGGTTGGGTTAGGTAGTCTTGGTGAGAGTTAACATAGTGCTGCTTTTGGTTGCGGTACTGTCTTGACTGGCTAGATTTAGCAACAGACGAAGACTTTGCAAAGCAGGCCTTGGCAATGTGACCTTGCTTACCGCACTTAAAACAAGTTGCTAACTTGAACTTGCACCGATGAGATGCATGGGGACCTTTGCATCGATGACATTTTTGATAATTATTACTAGATTTAGATCTAGGATTTGAACGAGCAGGGTGTTTAGCATAAGTTGGAATGCTCTGTTGGGGTTGATGTTTATTGACTAACCTGCTGTTTACTGCATGGATCTCTGAAGGTGCTAAAGATCTCGCCGCATCTGATGACTGCTGGAATGACATTGCAAGTTGTATTGCTTTTTCC